TTACGATACCCACAAATGATTCAGATTTTATCTCACTTCTCTTCCATAAATAGTCGACTTAAGAAATTTTGTAGGTACTTAAAAACTTCAACGGACAGCCCTATGGGGTTGTACGCAATGGTGACGTCGGACTACTGGTGTTATATAATAAATCTTATTTGTTAGCTTCAGTAGGAGCTTGTGTTTTGTGTGGGAATAGGAATTTGAGCGGGGTTCTCTCTGTTTATACTCTTTAGTATGACGCGCTGGACACAGATGGCCCACAGCGACTCACGAAGAGCTGCTGATTCCAATCAATAGCTGTGCGGCTTCTTCCTCCTTCTATGGATGGTCATGTGGGTTGCAGCTCGCTGGTTCCAGGCAGCCTTTCGTTGTGTACTGGAGAACACCATCACTCACCACGCGGTGATTGAATAAACACCGTTTGGTTAGAACCAGATGGAATTCATCTTTGAAATCTGTGTTAGGAAAATTGCTTTTCGCAGGCAATCGGTGATAATTTTACTATCATAGCAAAAGTTGCACAATCGTGCAATTTTCGATAGTGACATTTTGAACGTAACTTTAACAGATGCGTAGGAATATTTCTGATCGATTGGTTGAAATTGGTCCAGGGGCAGCTGAGTTTTTAACGTTCAAAATCTTTCATAATTTTGCTACATGTTCCATTTTCGGTTTTCACAAAGTGTACCCCCATATAGAAATCACAGACGTAGTCCTACGTCAAAAAGTAAGAAGGGTCTAACCTAACCATAGGTAGATAAATTCAGGATTTTCCCTAAAACTCATGCATTGCATGTCACAGATTTATTATCACCCCTCTCCACTTAGTGCGTGACGTACTTGTTGCATCATCCCCAAACTCTGTTCCAGTTAGTATTTGGCGGCTTCTTTTTAATTACTGTAGCGCCTAGTTATCGTAGCAAGAAACTATTGACAGCGTTTTGATCTAGAAGGATTGTTTATTTATTAGTGAAAATTTCATCAGGATTCATATACTTGTTCAAAAGTTATCGAAGATGGAACGTGACAGACGTGAAAAACTTCTGCACATTCACGTGCAAAATCCATCGTGGTCAGGAGAAATGATTGGAAACGCTCTCAAATTTCCAAAATCGACTGTAAATACCGTGCTTAAACGTTACCGGGAAACACTAACGTTGAATCGTGCTAAACAAAACAAACGTAGAAGTGGAACATATGACCGGAAACTACGAGCGAAGGTCATAAGCGCAGTCCAAAAGAATCCTGGGATCTCCGGTCGTGATTTGGCGAAAAGGTTCAGTTCGGCGAATCTGTATGCCAGAAGGTTTCCGGGCGTACCATGCCAGCAAACATCCCAACAGGACGCTGAAACAAAACCTGGTTGCCAAAAACCGTGCAAAGAAGCTGTACGTGCAAGTTCTGACCAAGTATAACGGATGTATTTTGATGGACGATGAAACTTACGTAAAAATGGACTTTGCACAAATCCCGGGCCAAAAATTTTACTTTGCTAAACCTAAGGGGGATGCTCCGGATAAATTCAAATTTGTCTTTGCAGATAAATTCGCTCGCAAGTTGATGATTTGGCAAGGCATCTGCAGTTGCCGTTCATTCAATCACACGAAGGTAAAGTTCTGGCCTGACTTAGCCAGCTGCCATTACAGCCGCATAGAATGGTATAAGCAGAATAATGTCGATTTTATTGAGCATCAATCCACCAAATTGTCCAGATTTTCGTTACATTGAAAAATTTTGGGCCAATATCAAGCGCAAATTGAAGAAATGTGGCAAAACAATCAAAACACCATCTGATTTGGAGAAGTGGTGGAAAAGGATGGTATATGAGGTTGACAGTACTACTGTGCAAGACATGATGAGAGGTATTCCGCGAAAAGTTCGAAAATTCATCCGAAAAGCTGACGAATAATTTTGTTGCATTGTTCCTCAATAAAAATCCTACAAAATGATACCTTTAGCGTTTTTGTACTTTATTTCCCCTTGCCGCACAATGACCTATTTTGTGCGGCCAAATTCTAAATGGAACAGACTTTACTCGAGAGAGTCATGATTTTTTGAGTGTCTTTATGTTTCCGGGAGTGTATTAGCTTTGTTATCAATAGATTAGTCGGTTACGATTTATGGGTTTCCCGATAACGAAAATATTATTTCTGTTAGACTATTGAACGGTATAACGACGCTTTATTGTGCCTAACCTTGTTTTTTTTTTCTTCTGTTCCTTCCAATAGCTTTAACTGAGGGTTCCAATTGTGACATAATAGGCTTGAAGATAAATCAAAATCTTGTTTATTTTCACAGTCACAAAACGGGGTGTTCGTTAATGTTTTTTTGTCTCTTGAATTTGATTCCGGTTATGTTTCCTTGTGTATAACCCTTTATTAACTCAACCTCTTTTTATCTAGTTCGGCTCAATCGCGTTAGCTGTATGGAGCCGATCATTCATTGTTCATTTTTTGTAACAAAATTCACTAATTTCTATGTCTAATAGGAGTTGGGTCGAATACTCGCAGCTCATCGCTCACAAAAAACGTTTGCTCGGCTCATTAGTAGTCAGCGGTGTAGCTAAATTGTGCCAATTCAAGCTGTTGGAATGGTGTCTAAAGTTGCTTATGTAGACTCCATTATTAACTAATAGAACCTAACGCTTCCAGCATATCGCAACTACCGCTTTCTGCAAAAATTGAGTTTGAATTGATGTGAAGCATCTTTTTATTCAAAATTATAATTTCTAAATTTATTGAAGAAAGCAGTGGCGTCGCCTTAACCTCAATCTACCTGTGCACCAACTCTCAAAACATAAACAATTATCAAAATATTGCTTGCAATGGATAGATATTGATTTAACTAGAAGATTAAAAGTGTTTTTCAACCGATTCGAGTATGAATATGGCATTAAATCTGTTTTTGAAAGTTGGTGCACAGGTAAAAAGTGAGGTTACGCAACGCCACTGGAAGAAAGCAAACTTATTATTATTATTTCTTGGGCTTCAAAATTGGAACACCTTTGGGATTTTTCAATTTATCAGGAATGTATGCCAAATGTAAACATCTTTTAAACAATTTTACCATGAAAGACAAAGTACTCTCTGGAGTTTTTTTTTGATGATTATAGAAAAGCCCATCATCACCTGAAGTTTTATTTTTTTTTTAGTTATAGTTCCTACTTCCCCAGGATTCATGAAAAATATTTTCCTGAGAGAATATATTCTGATTATCGATAGGGCTAGTAAGACACATACTGTAAAATTTTCGCTTGGTAAAAACAATCGTTGAATTCTTTCGTTTTTGTTTGCGGAATATTAAAGTCTGGAACGCGCAAAAATTGGTCAACTTCAATTTGGAGTATTTCTGTTAAAAATGCATAAAAAAACTTATATTCTACATTTGGAAGTTGAGTGTATATATTCGATGGCTGAAAGTCTCTTTAATAAAGGAAGATAAGTTGAGTGTATATACAAAGGTTGCTATGATGAGTTTTTACCGTTTGCTCTCCAGTTTTCAAAATGACGTCCAAGCAAGAGGAGCAGCGTGTCAAAATTTTGCTCGCGCGGCAAGAGAATCCAACGTTCTCACACGCCAAGTTGACAAAATTGCTGGATGTGGCCAAATCGACCGTGACAAACGTTTTAAAAGTGTTCGGGGAGCGTCTGTGGACCGCCACAAAGCCTGAAAGCGGCGGCAATCGTAATCCGGACGTGGCAGCGACGACGAAGAAGGTGGAGGTGAAATATAAGCGGAATCCTAACCTCTCCATCCGGAATGTCGCTGGCAAGCTCAATGTTTCCCATAATACTGTGCAGCGGGCCAAGAAACGAGCCGGGTGACGTTTAAGAAGGTGAAGGTGGCGAACCGAGATTACAAACAAAACACGTCGACAAAGCAGCGGTCCCGAAAACTGTAAACGAATCTGCTCAAAAAGTTCGACTGTGTCGTCATGGACGACGAAACTTATGTGAAGACGGATTTCAAGCAGCTTTCGGGACAGGAGTTTTATACCGCATCAGGACAAGGGAAGGAGGCTGAAATTTTCAAAACCATCAAACTATTGAAGTTCCCGAAAAAATATCTCGTCTGGCAGGCCATATGCACGTGTGGTCTAAAAAGTGGCATTTTCATTACTACGGGAACCATCAATCAAAAGATCTACGTCCAGGAGTACCTGGAAAAGCGGCTGCTACGATTCCCAAAGCAACATAATAGACCTGTGCTGTTCTGGCCGGACTTGGTGAGCTGCCACTATGGGAAAAAGGCAATCGAGTGGTACGATGCGAACAACCCTCCCAACAGCCCAGAACTCCGCCCTAAAGGTACTGGGCCTTGGTCAAACGGAATCTCAAAAAAACTAATAAATCCATGGAAAACGAGCAGCAGTTTAAATCAAACTGGCGTTCGGCGGCGAATAAGGTCGATGAGAACACTGTACAAAATTTAATCGAAGGGGTTAAGCGGAAAGCACGGTAGTTCGGATTTGGCAAACCAAAAGAACATTTTTTCTTTAAATATATGAATTGAACTACGAAAAGAAAAATAAGAAGATTTTTGTGATATGAATTTTGACTGAAAAAAACGATTTTTTTGTCGACCAATTTTTGCGCGTTCCAGTCTTTATAAACCGGGAAATTTGTGCAAACCGTAAAATCCTAGAAAAAAAAAACTGCCTACCTTGTTTCAAAACCATTACCGAATTTCACAGTAATAAAAATTTAATTTTTCCAACGTACATGTTTTTCACATAAGTGTGATGCGTAAACAAGGCAAATATGACATAGCTTTCCACATGAATGGTGCTTAAAACATGGTTATATTTTCTTGAGGTAAGTTCATTACAAACAATCACTTTTCTAGATCTACTTGTCGTATCTATAGGTGACACGTTAAATGTATGGATTTTTATCTATAGGTGACACGTTAAATGTATGGACTGCTACGCATTGATATGCTTATCTTTCGGTAAATCCTATTTCACTTTCTCGCTAGTGGCAGTCAGCTGCCGGCGAACCATTCAAAAGCACTCATTTTGGGACGAGCTTAGGTGGTTCAAGTGCAATGAGACAGCCCTTCAACAACCTGCAGATCCTGTTGGCCTTTCTGTTGATGCTCGTGATCTACGTAGTGTATGTGATAGTGCAAGATACCGAACCGAACGAACAACTGTTGATACGAAGTTTGCAAGCAGAGTTGAGAGTCATTAATGAAACGTTATACCAGCATCAAACCACATCGACTACCACCAGTGTTCCGGTAGTCGATGGTGATATCTATCATTTATTGGATGTTCAAGCCAACGAAGAAGATCTCCACCAAGGGAATAATATATTTTTCATACTTACGACGCTCACCAAAGATGGTACGATTCACCTAACTCCTCGCCAGGCTTGTGCCATCGAATCTGCAGCTCGAGCCAATCCGGACTGGAGGGTATTTCCGTTGTTCGTATTTGCAAGGTGGTTCAACACAACCGCCGACCCGTACATCTCTGCACTGTTGCGATTCTGCAACATCCGACTGCGACGCGTCAATCTGGATACGTTTGCTTTCGGAAGTCCTGTGGAGAAACTTTTTGCGGAAGGAGCTCTCAAGCAGTCAAGTTACATAGTTGAACACACGGCCGACGTGCTGCGGATACTCACCTTGTACAAATATGGAGGAACTTACTTGGATACGGATGTGCTTGTTCGTAAAACCTTCAATAAAATGCAGCCAAATTATCTCGGTTCGGAAGGAAGTGGATACGTGGCAAATGGAGTTATCAATCTGGAAGCTACCGGCTTCGGGCACCAGTTCGCAGAAGCTTGTCTCAAGTAGGAATGTATCAAGAATTGTTTTCCGGCAACGATATTTAATACGATCTGCGTTTTCCAGTGATTTAGCCCAGCATTTCGACGGTAAACAGTGGGCGGCTAATGGACCATTCATGGTTACGCGCAACTTGCAAACATTCTGCAACACCACGGATATCACCAAAATGGCACGGGAACAGTGTGGCGGTCAACTAACGGTCTACCCACCGGATTGGTTCTATCGGATACGGTATCCAAGGCACGCTTGGTTCTTTTACCCAGAGCACTCGGATGAAGTGATGAATTCCACCAAGGACGACGTTCTGGTACACATGTGGAACAAAGCTACCAGCGGGATTCAGCTCAAGATTAACAGTACTGCTGCGTACATCCAGCTGGCGAACCAATTTTGTCCAAATGTTCTAATGCAAACGGCTGAAAATTTCTGAAAATAGATCACAACACATCGACAACGAATTCAAAATGTCTTTTGTTTTGACCCCCAGACTGATCGCAAAGTTCCCCACCGAGACCATGTACACACGCGGTGTATGTACATGATTAATATCTTTATCTTCTGTTTTGACGGCTTGGGTGGTAGTTCTTATCAAGTTGCGATATCTGTCAAAATACGGAAGGGGGATGTTAGGGGTAGTTGACGAGTGCCCACGGTTAAGTTTATGGATGGATGGATGCATTATGGACAGCTCCTTCTTCATGTCAATTAGTTACGAACCAATTGAAATTTTCCGCCTACCCTCAACTTAGTGTTCTTTGAGCACTTTCACAATTCATATACATATTGTGCGGTAAACACAATAATTGTTACGTGAACGCGCATCGGTTCACAGAGTAATTTCCCAAGCAATGTCAAATGAGTCTGGCATTTAGAATATTTTTGAAAATTTTAAATCATTGATAACTTTTCAATAATAATGTTAAAAAAAAATTTCTTTCGTCTTCTTCTGGAAGTTTGACCATAAGCCAAAGGTTTTTTTGTTCGACTTTTATTGGATGGTTTTTCCGAGCTTCTTCTGGATTTCCCTGGAAATTTATTTGCGATTTCCTGATGACCTTTTCTGGCATCCTTTGGATGTGACATCCGATTTTTTTTCGATAGTTTATTTATATTTTCGCAACAAGTTTCTCAGTTTGTGTGTTGGAAGTTTCCCGGATGTTTTTCCAACTTTGATTAGAACTTTTCTCGAACTTCACCCAGGAGAGCTTCTCTGGTCTTTCTCTGGATGTTTTTTTCTAATCTGCCCGACATTTCGGCCATCGGTTGTGGCCTTTTTCAAGGGAAAATATTGTTTGTCGTTATTGTCAAAAGCTTAGTCGTTTTTGTGGCTGATTTTCCATATTTTGGTTTCATATTTAATTGAAAAAAACTACTTGGTCACAATTTTGATCACCACTTGAGGACAACGATAATTAAAAAAAATAATAAAAAAAAATAACGATTGTTTTAAGACTGAGAAAGCCGTTAAACAAAGCGATTCCCCTCAAGTCCCGCCTCAAGTCGTCACCATCGTTAAAATTGTCGCTTTCAAAAACGGCAAAAATATAAAATTAATTAAATAGTAAATACCGATAAATACCGATGTTTAATTACCTTTGACACCGATAAGCTTTAAAACAATCTGGCAACGCTGAGCTGAGTTCAACTTTCAATAGTCTTAGCTATGGGATATATTAGTCACAGGGTCACCAGTGACCCGGGAAATCGAGAAAACGAATTCAGAATTCGAAGACACCGGGGAAAAAACCCGTGAATTTCGATGACAAATCGGATAAAATATACAATATCTTAACAAAAAATAAGATGTCCAAAAATATCAACACCTTTGGATTTCTAGAATTTTAGATATATTTTTTAAATAAAAAAATTTGAGGAGATTTCAGAATGAATTCTAGGGCTAAAACCAAGATCCCTCCCGTTGGTCACTTTTGACACCTTGCCGAAGGTGGAAGGGCTTATTCTCATACTGTGTGGCTAAATGGTAGAACAATAATTTGACCAGTAGTGAAAGTATCACACATTCTGCTCTTTTATGTATTTGCCACTTCGTAGTTCGTTTATATAAAGGCATCAGGTGTATTCCTAGCGGGATTTGCCACAATCCACTCTTATATAGACGAAGCTAGAAACAATCTTAAACACTTTATTTCAAATAAAATAAAAAAAACTGCACTTTTATTTTGCGTCACAATCTTTCGTTGTTATTTATTAATTAATTATCATTGAGTAAATAACCAAAAATACCTCTACATACTACCATTGGTATCATAAATAATCTAGTATATTGCTTCATTTTCGAATAGGGTGAATATTTTGATCGCTGTTGGCTTTGGATCGTGGTTCCTAATGTGGTATGCTTCTGTTGTGGCATTTGGGAATACCATTTACCGTGATAGGGCACGATGCAGTGAAATCATGTAGCCGTGAACTTACTCATCAACATATAATTAATAGATGGGGAACTGACTTTGAAATGAAGCAATTTGTCACAGAAAGTGTCACTTAGGACGGACGAAGACAAGATTTAATCATCAGGCCAACGAAGAAAGTTAGCCCAAAGCACAATAAGGACATTTAGAAAAATTAAATCTCTATTCTCATGGAACAAATAGAACACGGGCTTAGAATGGCAAATAGTTTAAAGGATAGTAGAATAAATCGTCTCTTTTAATATATTTTAGTTTCACTAAGCAGTGATTTTTTTTTCATTAGCCATCATAAATGATACTCATATCTTTGATCAGGCGTTTGTAAATCAGTTAATTTTGGGAAAGGAAGAGTTTGACAGAATTAAATAAATAAATGATAGGTTGAGGTTAGCCTGGTTAGGAAAATGTTGTTTCGGGTGAGTTCAGCATTTTTCTGGTAGAGTTTGATATTGTAGCTTCTAATTGGTATTAGCTTGGTTGGGTTAGGTCAGAATTGTGAATCCAAATTTTTAGTTGTGCCGATAAACTTAGATTGCATTAGGTGGTACAATGACATTTGGTTCATTTGGAAGTAGATACTGGTTTAAAATACCGAGCCCATCATTGTACACTGTGCTTAAATGTTTTTAATAACTTTAGTGTTTGACTAGATTAAACCGGGAAATTGTTAATCGGGATTCACTGGTCACCATGTACTCATCAATGGGAATCATTTCCGAATAACACATGCTTACTCGCCATCATCGCCACGCCAAACCACCACCATACCATACTCTATCTGACTATCCATTGAGCGGAGCAAACGGCCAAGTTCTCAACTCTATAGAGCCAAACTCTTCGGTGCGTTCTCCTCGTTCTCCTAATACAATATACATGAACGCATGGTGGTAAAAGCATGGCAATCAAACAACAACATCTCTAGCGCCATCCTTCGTTTTCTCGTATTTTTTAGTAGCAGCGAGCAACGAGCACCCCATCGCCTGTACACAAGCAAGCATCTATGCAGCAACAGCGAACGGCTCGTTCCGCGAGACGACGCGAGAGAATCGGCGAGATTCCGTCAATACAAACCGCTTCTCTCTTATATTTGTGTTGGTAATCAAATGTGTATGCCTACTTACCTTCCTATCCTATCCTATCCATTATTGCGGGATAAGAAAGAACGTGATTAATTTCTTGCAATATGATTTGCTGTGTGTATATGTAGGTACGTACGTTCCGTTGATTTGGTAGCGACGTAGTAAAAGAGACCACTTTGAGGTTAGTAGCTGGCTACTAGTGTAGGGGAGTGGTTTCCACATTTTCGACTTGCGGTGGCTCCACACGGTGGGTTTCGGATCTTGCGAGGTGCTTGCGGAAGTGCTCCTGGGAAGCAACTCTAGACGCTGCCTGCCGGACAACGAAGAGTCATGTGAGTACAGCCCGAACAAACATATCGGCAGCAGAGAAAGATCTGTCGTCATCGCGGAATAGCGGCGGCTGTAGCAGCCGTAATAGTGAGTTATTTGTGTGGTATAGCTCCTCCATGTATGTACGTACATATAGAGGAGGTCTTTTCGAGGGTAACAGTAACAGTGTACGGTGTGCGAAGAAACGGTGCGTAAAATATGGAGAGCACTTCGTAACTGCGTTTTTGTTTCATATTTCGCGAAAAACTCGGGCCAGGTGGAGGAGCCAATCGTCATCACCCCAAAGCGCTCTGACGGGACGGGACGGTCGCTCGCGTAAAGAGCTCAGAAAAATTTCGCACATTTGTAGCCTTGCTGCGTTTGCCTGTTGGACGGAGATTTCTGCCAGACCAGGAGGCCAAATCAGTCATCGGTCGGCGAATTATGTTCAACGTGTTCAACTCGCATCGCTGCAGCTCCAAACTAACATGATACGAACAGTCGTTCTTAAAATAGTCTTCGCGTTGTTATATTTTTGCTATGAGTGTTTCAAATATGTAATAATCGCCTTTTCACTTATTGCTTCTTGTGTCGAGAAGCGATAATGTGCGCAATTGGAAACTAATGGGATGCTACCTGTTTCTGTTTCTATTTCAGATAACGACGAAGTTTGCCACCATCATGGATTTCAAACAGCAGAATGGCCAGGCACAGTTCCCTCGGAGTAGTTCAAGGCTCAAGCATCAATCATCCACAGCATCCAGCATCTCGTCATCATCTTCGAACGCCCCGCAGAAGGTCACGCTGCGGAGAAGATGTCGCAGTGAAAGTCTTCCGATGGCACCGATGTGCGAGTCCAAAAGTGGCAAATCCCGACTGCACGGTCACTACCACCAGCATCAGCATCACCATAACCTCAAGTCGAAAGGTGAAGCCGCCCCTACCCTGCTGATCGAATCTTTCAGTCTTCAAGGTAACGGCCGGAAGATGCTCCCCGTAATTGCCAACAACGATCTACTGCCCAGCATAACAATCAATAATGCTAAAGAGAACGTCATGCATAACGGGCATACCCGGCTGGAGAGTGGCGTCAATGTCAAGGATGTCTACATGAACGAACTCGATGCTTATAGGAAAGATCGGTGGAATGGGTACTACATTGCGGGAGAACGGCAACTCGAGTCACGGTTTGCCCGTAACCTGGAAAGTTCGTTCAATCCGCGAAAGACTATTTTCGATCGAAGCAATCGCAAGCTGCGGGCACGAAGCGAATCCGAACCGCAAGAGATCTACACCAGTACGCCGATGGTCGGTGGGGCTTCTAGCAGCGGGAGATCCACTCCCGGGTGGACCAATCGAGACCACATGCGCGATGTAAGTACCAATTTCATACGATCATTCTTTCAGCAGATAATACCGTTGACATTTCCTCTTGCAGGTATCCCTGAAACGAACCCGCGACACCATCTCCCCTACACTGGAAGGCGACGAAACAGTGGAATCCGCTCCTTCAAACATCGTTCAAAAAGACTCACCACCATCGAAGATGCTAAATGCTATCGACTCAACTGGACTAGACGAAAGTAGCGGCAAAGTTCAACAACGGCTCGGAAAATCCACCAAATCCTCTAGCAACGCGAACGGCATGCGGGTGACGAAAACCGTTCGAACCCGCACGGGAGCATCCGTGAACAAATACAAATCCTGTCTTAAATCTGCCCCGACAACCGCTTCGGCTATCGTAGCTTCCGGTGGATCGGTGGCCCACATCGTCGGCCGGAAGTCGGTCTCACCTCCATTGCTCAAACCCCTGGCCGGTTCTACCTCACCTACTCCGTCCGGTATGTCGACGGGAACCAGTGGCGGAGAATCGGTACACACTCAGGACCTGGATACGGAAACCATCGGCCACTCGGATGTTGGCGAGGACGATGATTTAGATGACGAATGCGACGGAGAGGAGGACGACTTGGGAGATGAGCTGTTGGGTGACGACGACGAAGCACTGAATGGATCGATTACGGACTCGGAGGACAACTACCAAACCCATCTGGCGGCCTATCAAGCGCGGGCAAAGTCGCACTCCTCGTCCCCTTCGCCTTCGTTGGTCCGTGGACCAGTGACGTCGATCGGGTGCGTACTCGGAGGATGCCCACCGGAAGGCCCCCTCACGCCTAGCCTGTTTCCTCATGTGCCACCGTACATATCATTCTCCACGCACGAAGAGAAAGGACCCCCAATGCCGCCCGCCATCCACAAGGTACTCAAGTGGAAGATGACGCTGATTACACCGATCGTCGTGCGGAAGGTGTTGATCAACAGTGGATTTAGACTGCTGAAAAGTGAGTACTTATATTGATTCCAATAAAACAATATAGAACTAGTTTAGAACTTTTGGAGGAGGAATACATGAGGTTCAATGGGAATTTGTAGGGTAGAGGTTGTACAAGGAATCCTTGAAGAGTTCATAATATGTTTGAAGAAATTCTACCATGGCTTCAGGGATCTATTTGGAAGAATTTAGGCGTATTGTCCATGAGGGATATTGATGAAAGTCTATGTTAATTTTCTGGACAAGCCAAATTGGTTTGTTCGGGAATTCCAGAAAATTTAGTTGGGAACTCTGCACTTAATATCTTAAAACGATTATTGGACGTTCCTTAGAAGTATTGTGTGAGAACTAAACAGAATATTTTTTAATAAAAATTATGTACACCCCTATTCTGTATTTCGTTTCGAACGAAATTCTCATACAAAAAAATATTTTTTTGTATGAGAATTTCGTTCGAAACGAAATACAGAATAAGGGTGGTAAACTTCAGAAGGAATTTTTGGAAAATTGCGAGTAAATTGCTAGAAGAAATCATCTAAAAAGTTACATAGTCATGAAAATGCTTTGGGCCCAAAACATATCATCGGAATATTATAGAAATCAACTCACTCAATGGGTTACATGATTCAAAATATGATTTAATAGCTGTACCCTCTTGAACCAACCATGAAATAAGAAAGCTTAAAGTTAATTTATGAATAATTCAGTGCCAATATTTCAAAGGGGCGTAATTGCATTTGTAAACAATGGCTTTAGCCGTCGATTTCTCGCGAATAAAAGCTCACTCATGAAAAATAATGACACCAGCAGGTAGATGAATGTTTCCTCTACCAGCTACCATTGTAATTTTGGAGAGGTAAGATTTCATTCGCAATAAATTGACGGCTAAAGTCATTGTTGACAAAAGCAATTACGCCCCTTTGAAATGTTGGCACTGAATTTTGGATTTCCCCTGGCAAATTTGCTATAGTACTCCTTCTTGCAAGCTTTCTGAACTTGTACTGGAAATTTTATTAGATTTGTTTCAGTAGTCTTCAGAACAACATTGGAAGCCATCTGAATTGCCCCTGAAGATCCTGTATTCTTGCTCTGTAAATTATCTAGATTTTCCGTTGCACTTGCTCCGAAAGTCATACTTTGATGCCTTGGATCTGAACTTGTTCTGAATTAGATAGATTCGCTAGATTAGATAGATTCGCTAGAATTTTTCCTTCAAGTTCTATAGACAATGCTAAACCGAGAAATCATCTTGGCTTACCCTACATGCGCTTCAAATTTGCTCCAGAGGTCCGCTTGTTTTTTTTTTTTTTTTTTTTTTTTTTTTTTTTTTTTTTTTTTTTTTTGTTAAGATGGGCTTACCCTGAAAACTTTCTAAACTTTATCTGGAAACTCTTAAAACCTTGGAAGTTTTTCTGAAGCAATGTGAAATTGCCATGCAAAAAAATCCAACTTACCCTAATAGTCCTTCGAAGTAACATTAGGCTTTTCCAAATAGCTTCTAAAATTGTTCTAAACGACTTCATTGGACATGCCCAGGATATCTTCTGCAGACCTGGAAGCTTTCTGAACAAGATAAAAAAAAAAGTTTTTAAGAATGTCCAGAAAATGTTTTCTGAATCTTCGAGACATGTGCCCATTAGATCTGTCAAAAATATCTTTGAACATATTCCAGAAAATTCTGTGGATTCACTTTCAAGTCTAGAAGATGTGTCTTGGAAATGCTATAAACTTGTCCTAGAACTAGTCATCTTGGGAATCCTTTGGTCTATTTGTAGGATTTGTAGGATGAAGAACTTTTTTACCAGAGCAATTATGAGTAGATTTTAGAATCAATTCTAGAGTTAACACCAAGGTATTTCAGAGAAATTGTCCTAGAAGTTTTTAAACACTAAGAGAGTTTGACTAAAACTCATAATCAATTGTGTGAGTTATTGTACATACATAAATACAACTCATAATCAATTGTTTGAGTTTTAAAAAAACCAAGACGATTATAAAGAGTATTCCAGCATCCGTGAAAATATTAAGAGACTCGAATGTTGAGGGTACAATCCTAGAGACATTGTGCGAAGAGTTTTAAGGAAACTCCGAGGATAATTTCAAAGGCATCTCGGAAAGAATTTTTAGATAATTTTAAGGAGGATTCCAAGTGAATTTTCAGAAGAATTTAGAGAAGAACTCCCTGATAATTCTGAACAATATTTTACGACAATTCTAAGGTGAATTACATGGGGGTTATAGAGATATAGAGAATGCAAGCAAATTTTAAAAATCGAGGGAAGCTTAAGTAAATTCTTAGAAAAAAATTAAAATTCGTAGAAATGCTTGAGAACAATCAAATAAAGTGAAGTTTTAAGTGACACATTTTGAAGACTTCGAAAATTCAAAATTCAAGATTTTTCCTACATCAGTTTTCAGATTTCTACATAATCAGCTGTTTTAGAAATGACTCATTTAACCTAGTGATTTCTTTGATTTTATGCCTAATTTAAAAGCGATATACTAACCGGGAAAATTTCCAGAAAAACCGGAAAATTACCAGAAAAACCTGGAATCGCTGCAATTTTCCCAAGAGTCTTCTGGATTTTTCCTCAAAAATAGTTCGTAAGTTCTTGGCAATAACCTTCACTCCCCAGAAGTTGTCCTTCTACCCTGAAAGTCATCTGCGTTAAGCATTTTCTTCGCCATCAAGCTTCGGTATCTGATTTCCACTGTTTCTCCCCTCCGCAGAAACAAACGACTGGATAGGCATCTGGGGAAAGCACATGAAAAGTCCCTGCTTCAAGACGCTGCGTCCGTACCAAAAGTTCAACCACCTGCCCGGTAGCTTCCAGATTGGACGGAAGGATCGCGTTTGGCGGAACCTTCAAACCCAGATGAATCGGCACGGCAAGAAGGAGTTCGGCTTCATGCCTCGAACCTACATCATACCTCAGGATCTGAAAATACTGCGTCAAATGTGGCCCAGGTATAGTCAACGGAACAGCAAATGGATCATCAAACCGCCTGCTTCGGCCCGAGGAACCGGCATCAAGGTAGTGAACCGATGGTCGCAAATTCCCAAGCGGAAACCTCTGATCGTGCAGCGATACATCGAGCGTCCGTTGCTCATCAACGGCAGCAAGTTCGATCTGCGATTGTATGTTCTGGTTACCTCAATAAACCCCCTCAGGGTCTACATGCACACCGATGGATTAGCCAGGTTCGCTTCGGTCAAGTACAGCGAAAAGGCTGACACGCTCAGCGATCGCTACATGCATTTAACCAACTACAGTATTAACAAGCTGTCAAACAACTACAACGCCAACGAGGATGCCAATGCTTGCGAGGGTCACAAGTGGACCATCAAATCGCTATGGTCCTACTTCGCCGAGCAGGGAATCGACACGGATCGACTGTGGGGAGCACTGAGAAATCTAGTGCTGCGAACGATCCTAGCCGGTGAAGGGCCGATATATGCCATGTCGAAGCTGAATGTCGCCAGTAGATACAACTGTTACGAACTCTTTGGGATTGATGTGTTGCTGGACTCGGAACTGGTTCCTTGGCTGTTGGAGGTGAATATTTCACCTTCATTGCACTCCGCTTCGACGCTGGATGCCCACGTCAAGGGGCCATTGGTTAAGGCTTTGCTCAATACGGTTATGTATCAGGTATGAATATAGCAATCATCGGTAGTTAGCATAATAATGGTTCGAATTTTACTCTAGGTTCCACCAAGAATACCTATGGCTGAGCAGAAGGAAATTCTCGCTGAACAAGGTCTCAAGAGTCCACTTTGCTATGACAAGCGAATATACGTGACTGCCTTGTCGAAAGCGGAAAGACTGAAACATAATCAATACATCCAGAAAGACATGGCCAGAGAAGAGGTAATGTTCCTTCCGTTCCAGGGATTGATATAATAACTAACAAGCGTCTTGTTATATTTCCAGTACCTAAACAACATCCTAGAGGAGTTGACTCCGGACGACGTACGATGCCTACTGTTGACCGAAGATGAACTCGCCAGAAGTGCCCCGCTGGAACGTATCCTTCCAGCACCCAACAGCCATCGGTATGTTTGCTTTACCGAACACCCTCGGTATTACAACCGGCTGCTGGATGCGTGGGAACAGCGCTACTGCCACAATCGAGCCGAGGGTATCGCCCTACTGCAGTCCCTGTGCCAACAAAAGATCCACCTTCAGGTTCCGCCCAGTACGTTCAAAAAGGTAAGCATTATTATTCTTCCACCCTAAGCTCCCCCAGGTCCTGCTTTGGCTATTGTGGTCGTAGCGATTCTTAATCAATGCTTAAATAAAATGTCCAAACTATAATCATCCACAACGATTCATGATTAAGGATCGCTACCCGTTAACCTATTCATCTGTGTCAACCACAAATTTACTTCGATTACACCTTTTGAAGCCTCAAGAAACCAGTGGCGTCAAACATCAGGAAGAGAAAAAGCTGCAAAATTCAAGCACACTTATCTTCCTCACGAATACAAGCAATTTATCAAAATTATCACCTCACTCAAACACGTCATACGAAAAAATGCAACAGCAGAAGCAGCAGCACTCTTGCACAAAACATCTACCCCAAACAATCATAACCAAGGCTAAAACACAGAAACCCCGTTCCTTGCTTCGACCACCGAAGAATCCCAACCAACTCAAGTCCCACTAAGAAGACGATCCCAGTTTTACCATGTTTTTATAATACTCTATTTACTTCTTTTTGTACATAACTTAAAAACCTTTCGCCTGTCTCTTAAGATAGCTTCTTTTCCAAATTGTATTAACCAGTTTCTCCAAATCTTCTATTAAAACCATTTTTTCTACGTCTATTAAAATTTATACACAAAACAAAAACTCACGATTGCGTCCGTGACGTTGTTTGAAATCCGTGTACAAAATCCAATCCATCCGCGCACCACCGAATCCGCAAAAAAAAATAAACCAAAACAAAAACAAAAAACACATTTCGTCAAATCAATCATATTCAAGGATTTCTGGGAAGTCTTTCGTGAGGCATACTGGCGTTGTCGAACGATACGGGGTCGTAAGTGTACAAGTTTCTCTTCTCTAATCAATTTAGTTTAATTGTTTTCGAAATAGATTTTCAAGTGATACCAAAAATAAAATAATGCGATCCCGTTTATTGCTAATGAAGTTTTTTTGGTTGGAATTTATTCATATTGTTGGGATTAGTATGATTTCCTTACGAAAGAAATTTGTTCGCAAGCTACAGTTGGCGATTTTTTTAGTGCTAGTTAGAGTTTTACAGTATAGAGTTAAATTTTAGAGACGTTCAAAATTTAGCAAAACCATTGAGGAATAATTAGTTTATTAGAAGTTATATACTAAATTTTGTTAGGGTAAGTTTTTAGCATTTCGGTTATATTATGCTTTTTTATGTTGAAAAAAGTTCAACTATGGTGTAAAGATTTCATTGTAAAGAGTTTCCATAACATGTAAATAAGGATAAGTTTTGACGAATTTCAATAATTTTAAAAGCCTTCTTGTTTTTAACTTGTATTGGCGCTCAAAAGCAAGTTACATAATTATGGATTTTATGGATTCATCATTAACTGACCCCTTTACATGTAGGTAGGTATAAACCTACATAATAACATTCATATGAAACATGAACTTCACGCTGGGGCTACTTGTAAAGAAAGCAATTGATGGATAAAAGCTTATAAATATTTCAAAAGGTTCTATCTGCATTGATCGATTCTGTTCATCGACTTTCTATTTCGTTAATAACTCAGCTGTAAGACCTTTCCTGTTGTATTTAACGTTTTGGACGCTAGATAAGAGCTAACTTGGTAAAATTAGCGGGAAATCTGTTTGCATAGGAATGGTTATTGTTTATTGTTGTTTTACATCAACAGGCTGGATGAAGCCCCAATGATGTAACCTTATGAACTATGGTAAAAAAATACATTCAAGCATGGTCATAACATAAAAAAAAAAACATTTATCTTATAGTCAGTTACTCCTGCCGGCGAAAAACAGAAGAAAACTTTCGACGAAGCGCATCACGGGAGAGATGAAATTCGAAAACAGATGCAACTCTGTTGAATGTTCTCTGCAGTCCGCAAATCGCACCGTACGCTCCATAATTTGTGCGACGTAGAGGCAGTCTTAGCATAAGGTTATTACGAAGCGGTCGGGGTTGAACATTCAGGTCAATTTGCCTCAGGATAGCCTCGCAATCTGTCCTTCCTTGCAGGATATCGGCCACGGTTAGGGCTCTGCTTGTGTCTCTTCTAGTCCGGAGAAGTTCTAGGTCGATAAGTTGACAACGGCTTTCGTAACTGGGTAATCGAAACGGATCATTCTAAGGCAATCTACGCAACGCAAAACGAAGAAAGCGACGTTGAACAGATTCAATTCTCTCGGCACCGTTGTTGTAGTTTGTGTTCCAAACCGCTGAACAATACTCAAGCGTCGATCGAACAAGCGAACAATAGAGAGATTTTAGACAGTAGATATCAGTGAAGTTTTTAGCTATCCTAAAAATGAACCCTAAAGTTCTTGACGCCTTAAATCAATGTGTTGCTTGAATGAAAGCTGCGAATCCAAGATCACACCCAAGTCTTTCACCTGATTCACGCGTTCGATTGTCGAGCCAAGCAGGTCATAGCTAAATATTATCGGTTGTTGTTTTCGTGAGAACGTAATAGCGGAGCATTTGACTGGGTTCACTACCATTCTGTTTAACCTGCACCAACTAGCGAATACATTCAGTTGACGTTGAAGAAAATGACAGTCAGTAATGGAGCAGATTCTTAGGAAGATTTTGAGGTCATCTGCATATGATAACCGAGGAGAATCGATGACCAGATGCCCGTCGTTGAAGTACAGTATAAAAATTAACGGTTCCATGTGGCTTCCCTGAGGTATACCTGATGTGGCGAAGAAGCTAGCTGATCTGCAATCTTCTATGGCAACTTTTAGTTGCCGACCGGTAAGATATGATCGAAACCAACTCAGAAGATTACCGCATACACAGAGCCTGCCGAGTTTAGCAATCGCAAAAGCATGGTTCAACTTGTCGAATGCTGCGGATAGGTCGAAAAAGTCGATGAAGAGAATCGATAAAAGCAGATAGGACCATTTGAAATGCTCATCGAGATTTTACCGATATGTGTTCTGAAAATACCAGGGAATGTCTTTCCATGGCCGTGGGGATACAAATAGAAAGTTGACGAAGACAATCTGTCAATCTTACTTAGGACCTAATGCAATGTTCAGCTTGATACCTGAAAATGTACGGTCCAAAGTGTAGACTGGGTTGACTAAAAATAGTGGTTTAGGCACAAACAACTGATTTGAATATTAGCATCGGATCACTTTGACGTTTTGTTGCAGACGACCTCAGCAGGTATGGAAGCTTTGGTCGAACCGGCCAACGCACAATGATCACCTCAATAATACCATAGATTTCATGAACCCTTACTTGACGCATCCGCGTCTCCTAACTTTCACTAGCTTCTTCGTTCCATTCTTTTTCCACCCTTTTCTCTCATTTACTCACGATCTTCTCGTACATTCGTCTTGCTGCTTAACCTCTGCACCCGAGCCTTCGTTCGGTCCGTATATCGTGAATGCTTCAACCGATGCGGACGCCTTACTCTGGCCAGGCGATAGACTGATCTACGCCGTCTGTGATCCACCGGTTAATTTGAGGCTGTAAAAACAAAAGCCCTGAAGCGGTGCTTCATTAGACTCGCTGTGGCACTGAGGAATGCAGCGCGTAACTTACTCCTGTGTCGAAGGCTCTTGCTTGGCTCTTATGGCTCTCTCAATTCGCGGCGTGTGGGAGCTGATGCTGCTGGGCGAGACAATGCATCAGTGATCACATTTTTAATTAATCGTAGAATTAGCTTACTGCCTTATTTGGCCTCCGTCTCACCCGGATCGTGCTCGTTCTCGTTCGTTCGACTAATGGATTTGATGTTTTGCGGGGACTGATATTCGGATGCAATTCTTTTTTTTTTGCGGCGTTGCAAGCTTACTTCTCTTCGACGTGGGAAGATGGCGTCGCAGAATGTGCGGAAAATCTTCTGTTTCAATAGTGAGAATTAGTTCCCAGCTCCGAAGATAGGTGTATTGGACTTACCGTTACTCGGTAGTTCCCTTGACGAGGATGGGCCAACACCATCCCACTCGTCGAATTCCTCGCCACGGTGCTTCCGTCACTCCGGCAAAATTGTGCACCTCACGCGTTGAAAGCACTCTTCGTTGCACTGGCGGACTGTGTTTCTACCGGTGTGTGATGGCGAGTTTGCCGACACTGTCCGGGACAGTCGTGTGAGTGTGTTTTATTGTCACTTTGGCGGAAGCACAGATTGTCATGTCTCACCCCAGCGTATCTTCTTTTTTCGTGCACACGTTTAAACGATTGTCCTCAAAGCTATTTAACTAGCTTCCATACATAACAGTTAACAGTTCCATACATAACAGTTAACAGTAATATAGGGGAAATGGATGTAATGTCGGCCTAAATGCCCCTAATTTGGGCCCATTACATAAATTCAGCAATCGACTAAATTTTCAATAGCGACCAAAATATCCATTTGTACCGTACCGTACATAAAATTGATAAATAGTATAAAAATCTACTACGATGGGTCCAATCTTAAATCCATAGGCCAACATTAGAGCCATTTTCCCTACCTAGTATAAAAGCAACGCTAAATCGCAACTCTCCCGACCAACAGTCGGTATAAAATTGGATTATCCATACAGAAGTATAGAGTTCTACTATGTGAATAATGTATAATGGGGCTTTATTTGTCAAAGGCACTGTATTGCCAAGCAGGATGCAGTCGGTTCGATTTTCGGTCCGATCAAGAAAACCGGGAAAGTTTCTCGACTTCCTTGGACATAGAGTATATTTTGCATGCCATTTTTTTTTCCTTTGGTTTGTTTTTTCCGTCGATCTTGTTTTCCGTGCTGAGCACCAATGCTACCGACGTGCCAAGAAGGCAGCTCCCACACCTGGACCCTACCTATCGACCCATCAACTCATGAACCGGGGACCAACGGCTTTACTTCCCATCCGAAGGAAGGCGTGATCAGAGATGTTATGCCTCAGAACATCCCAGCGGCGCCGACTGGGATTGAACCCAGGCCTACTGGGGTGAGAAGTAATCACGCTTACCACTACACCACCGGCGCCGTTTATTTTGCTTGCCATAAAATATACAAATTCATGCATCGGTTTGCACAGAAAGCTCTCAATGAATAACGATGGAAGTGCTTCAAAGAACACTAAGTTAAGAGCCGAATCCCACAGTAAGTCTATTCGAGCTATAATGGAGATCGCTACAGCTGCCGACGAGATGATAATCATTGGCGACTTCAATCTACCGGCAATTTCTTGGCGATCATCTTACGGTGGATTCCTGTATCTGGACCACGTCTGATCTTCCATCGACTATGGTACTGAACGGCGAAGAAGCTTCATCCCCTCAGGACATTTGCCGTTTGTTCTCAACCAAGTTTGCGAGTCTATTCTCGGATGAAAACCTACCTGACGAGCACGTTTCTCTAGCAGCCAGTAGTGTTCCAATGTCTGGTCAATCTTTGCCAGCTATCAACATCGACCTCGCTATGATAACTAGGGCGGCTTCGCAACTGAAGTCTTCATTTAAGCCTGGACCTGACGGAGTTCCTTCCGTCTTTCTCAAGCGATCATCAATCGATAGCCTCTCTGCCTTCTGTTCGAAATGTCCCTCTCCAGTGGGGTGTTTCCTTCCTGCTGGAAATCAGCTGAGATGTTTCCAGTGCATAAGAAGGGATGCAAAAGAAACATCGACAACTATCGCGACATCACAGCGTTGTGTACCCTATCTAAACTGTTCGAGTTGGTCGTTATGAAACCATTAGTCTCTCACTTCAAGCAGCACTTGAGCGAAGACCAGCATGGTTTCATGGCAGGGCGGTCGACTGCTTCCAACCTTCTGTGTCTCACCTCGTACATTACGGAGAGTATGACAGACCATATGCAAACAGATTTTTTTTTTTATTATAGTCACTTTAACACTCTTGGGTTATTCGTGACTTGTCCGGGGGTGAGATTTGAACTCGTGACTTTGGCGTGAGAGGTATGGATGTTAACCACTACGTCGGGGTCGCCCCTGATATGCAAACAGATGTCATCTACACTGACCTATCAGCCGCCTTCGACAAGATGAACCATCCTATAGCGATCGCCAAACTGGATAGGCTCGGTATAAACGGCAGTCTCCTACGATGGTTCGCATCGCATCCTATCTATCTGATCGTCAGTTGGAAGTTACAATCGACGACTGCCGATCTCCTTCGTTCCCTGCCACTTCGGGTATTCCGCAAGGTAGCCACCTCGGCCCGTTGATATTTCTTGTGTATTTCAACGACGTCAATTTCGTCCTCGACGGTCCACGACTGTCGTTCGCAGACGACATGAAAATCTATCTCCGAATCCGAGCCATCGCTGACTGCCACCTTCTGCAACTCAACGCTTTTGCTAATTGGTGCCAACTGAACCGCATGGTAGTAAATTCAACCAAATGTTCAGTAATCACGTTCTCACGGAAGAAACATCCAATTACATTCAGTTATATCCTATAAGGCGTTGACGTGCATTGTGTGAATCACATTAAGGATCTGGGAGTCATCTTAGATTGTCAACTCACATACAGCCAGCATTTCTCGTACGTGATCGACAAGGCATCCAGAACGCTCGGTTTCATTTTCAGGAAGCTCAAAGTTTCACGCTTTACTGCTTTACTGCTTCCTCGTCGTGTTAGAATATTGCTGCCCTGTATGGAATCCCAATTACCAAAACAGTGTACAAAGAGTAGAGTCTATTTAACGACGATTCATCTGGTTTGCCCTTCGACGATTGCCTTGGAGGGATGCTCATCGCCTTCCAAGCTACGAAAGTCGGTGCCAGTTAATTCACCTGGATCCTTTGTGGAGTCGAAGAGATACGACAAGGCCCGTGGCAGACATTCTACAGGGATGAATCGATTGTCCTTCTATTCTACAACAAACCGACGTTAACGTTCAACCACGAGCACTCCGTAACAACGCAATTCTGAGGATACCTTTTCGTCGTAAAAACTATAGTTCGTATGGTGCTATCAATGGGCTACAAAGGGTTTTCAATCGTGTTGCTTCCTTATTTGATTTTAACGTTGGCACGCGAGACGCTGCGTCAGAGATTCCGTGATATATTTTTAAGAATTAGGAATTAAGTTCGACTTCACGACCTTTGCAGCTTGTTACTTCTTGACTATTGTGTATTTCCTAGTATTGCTTAATCCATCATTAGAACAAAATAAACAAATAAATAGCCGACAAAACGCTGGTATTAGAAGCGTCAAAAACCATGAAGAACAAACATTTTTCAAACATAAGCAGTTCTTCCGAGCAATAAAAGATACTCTACACTCTTGCCTCACCTTACCCTAATCTGCATAGCTGTACTATGGTCAACCGGGTCAAAATTGGTCATATCCGCCAGAAACTGAAAGTTAAGACGCTAACACCGGTGGTGCAGTGGTAAGCGTGATTACACACTTAGAAATTATCGTCGACTTCGGTCAATTTTACCGAAATCTGAACAGCTGAACCGTTCGGTTAAATTTTAAAAATTTAAGCAAGGTTGAACATGTTTTAAAATTATTTTCAAGTTCAATAGCCTTTAAAATGAAGATCAAAGTTTTACCGAACGTTCAGCTGTTCCGATTTCGGTAAAATTTACCGAACACGAAAACAAAATCTTAGTGTGTACCTCTCACCCCAGCAGGCCTGGGTTCAATCCCAGTCGGCGCCGCCGGGATGTTCTGAGGCATAACATTTCTGAGCACGCCTTCCTTCGGAAGGGAAGTAAAGCCATTGGTCCCCGGTTCATGAGTTGATGGGTCGATAGGTAGGGTCCAGGTGTGGGAGCTGCCTCCCTGGCGTCGATAGCATTGGTGCCCAGCATGGAAAACAAAGTCGAGGAAAAAAAGAAAAAAATCTACCTAGATTTGATAAAAAAAACTTACTCGAATTCAGTTTGGAATCTCATATCTTTCACTTCTGCAAGACATCGGTAATATTTTTTTAATTCTTGTGCGAGATTAGTGTCAAACCATCATAGAAGATAATAGTTAATTACTTAATATGTACTGATTGGATCCATACCACAGACAAAAAGACATAACACATTAAAATATGTCTTACTGTAAAACATCGTAGCTAAAACATTACCTCCATCTGTTTAGTATACTGTGGTGGGTAATACGCTGAACAGATGGCAGTAGTGTGTAAACGTCAAACGCAAGGGAATTGACTATGCGCGCCACAGGTGGCGGTACTACCAACTACGATACTTTTAAATTGACCGTTAAATGCTTGTTCTACGAACAACTTGTGAGTGTTATGTCTGTTTGTCTGTGTCCATACTTTTCTGTTTGTCGATACGTTCTTTACAGTGGCGTCTCGTAACCTCACTTTTTACCTGTGTACCAACTTTCAAAACCAGATTTAATGTCATATTCATACTCGAATCGGTAGAAAAATACACTTAATCTTCCAGTTTACTCGATATCTATCCATTGCAAGCAATATTTTGATGATTGTTTATGTTTTAAGAGTTGGTGTACAGGTAGATTGAGGTTAAGGAAATACCACTGGTTCTTTAGAATAGACATTTTGTTCCACAATTTTGGGGAATATTTTCAACCTTCAGAAGGGTATTTAGAGAAATCACTGCTATATTTACATAGAACGATAAAATAAATTCTAAAAAACAAACGTCATCATAGGTCAAAGAAAAACATGTTCGATTAAACTCAATAAATACATTTCTTTATCTTTACTTTTCTCCTCAAATTCAAAAGGCCATCGACGAAATTATCGAATCGTTGAACAAACGAGGAGACCACGACTTCTTTAGAAATATTTAGCCTGATAACAGTTAGCTTCCCTAGATAAACCCCTCTCCCGATAACCACCTACATCTTGGCGTGTTTTAAGTGTAAGGTAAAGTTAGTTGAAGAGTTAGTATGTTTTGTAAATCGTTCGTTCAAAACCTGTTCCGGAACGTGTTCCATCCTTCGCAATAGTTATACTAGTAAATAATCAAACCCGAACCTCTGTCCCCCTAAATTGTGGCCCCCCTTTTTCCCCAAATAATCCCATCCAACTCCGTCACATGCACTCATAGGCGGTTACTCATATAGCGCGCATTCCGAAGCAAGCGTAGTCATCCCATCGTTCATCAATCCATATTTAGTGCATCTCATAAACCAATATTATGGTACGGCGTAGCCATCGAACTCCATCGCCCATCTATACCGAGCCAAATTAGCGAGCTTTTTCGTGCGAGATAATCTCATTCTTGATGTTGTAATTGACTTGTGTCGTGGTGGTTGCGTTTCAACCTCAGTAATCTCCCCCCTCTCGAAAGAGTACATCCCCGTTTTATTTTCCAATTCACCACCGCATCTTTACCGATACTAATCTGAACTTTTTCGATCTTAACTCGCCAAATGCGCGCTAGGACTCCAACAGTAAACCGCAGCAGCTGCAGCAACAGCAACAACCGGACAGTAGTAGTAGCAGCAGTAGTAGTACAAACAACGAAAACGCCTCCCAGGACAGTGGTATCCAGTCGGATCCGGTCAGCTCAGAGCTACAATCGCAGGAATCCTGTTCCGCATATCAGTCGCAGGAATCGATTGATCAAATCGACGAGGACTCGACAACGAAAACGTCGGCGCTGATCGAGGAAGCGATGGATCTGGAAAAGGAACAACAGCAGCAGAAGCCAGAAAAGTCTAACGACGCTGAAAGCGATAATATCCGACTGAGTGACAAAATCAAACTGATTCTGGATGACGCGCTGCTACTGAAGCAGCAAAAATGCGGTGATACCGAAAATGCCATTATTGTACAGCAGTGATGTAAGTAGTCTTAGTTTCAGTTTACTACTTATGATTTGTTCATATAGCAAGAGTATGAATTCACGGAATCCGTTTCTTGAATAACCGGAGCAACGATACTAGATTTGTTTTAATCCGGATGTTGATTTTCCCCGTGCGTCTGATTCGTGATACATCTTCTTTCTGTGTAGGGAAATTACTGTTTTTAGCGGGTTTGTGTTAAAAAGACTGATCCGATGTGTTCTCTAACAAAAAGGAAAAAATATATACAGAAACGTGTGGAAAATTTAGTCTTAATCTGACTACTCAACCCATAGCGGAGTAGACCTATGTATGTAGCTTTAACGGAGCCATTTGTTGATCTTAGAGATGAAAGCATATTTCCCCACTTTAGAACCGTTCCTTTCCAATAACCTTAATATCAAAGTTTACCAACTATGCTAAACAATAGAAGAAAGCACTAGCAAAATCGAATAAATTTATCACCCCCTATTATTTTTTAATAATTACCTTCGATGAAAATACTCTTTTACTATTGTAGCATGTAGCGAGCCAACAAAAAAACATTCAATTTGAAAAAACTTACAAACAGGCACGCACTATTGGCCAGCTGTGATTCTCATACACGGCCAATGAGACTAACTCAGAGAGAGAGAAAGTCGCGTTTACTCAGTTGTATGAGAAATTTCTAAAAACGCAGGTTACTCAGTCTCATACAACTGAGTAAATGTGATTCTCTATTTGGGCTAGTCTCATCGGCCGTGTAAATACTAAAGTGGTTAGTATTCTTCAACTTTAAGTTTCTTTGGCAAGCATTAAACGGACAGGATTTCAAAAAAAGGAATACGGAGCAAAGACTACTATACTTCCAGTTTTAGTTTACTCAGTTTCTAGTTTAAAGTTCGATCACATTTTTATAAGTACTGGTCATTCAAAAACGTCAGCTCTATGTGGATGGATTTTACGGCGGTGTGTATGTACGACAGGTGGGGCCGGTCTGGCGCAAAAATCAGCCAACTGTAAAATTTTGCAAACAAAAACGAATAAAATAGAACCGCAGCAAAACTAAGATTCTAATTTTAGGTTTAAGACAAAGAGGAAAGAAATTAGGCAAGTAAATAAAAATCGTTTAGTAAATTAAATGTTGTTGTGTTATTGATGCTATCCGAACGATCCGTGGGAAACGTGGGAAGGGGGGGGGGGGGAGGTCTAAGAAGGGAAAATGGGCAGTTGGGCCACCCTAACCAAATCTTGTGATATCCAAATTCAGCGAAAATTTCGAGTGATTTGTCCCATGTGTACATGAAAGTCTAGAGAACAAGGGACAATTATATACGTGCACTGGCAGCGCATCATGAATAGAAAGATAATATTAAATTACGCATTATGTCTAAGAGATTATTGTAAAATATTGACCGTGTAGGTACCAAATCGTGAAGCAGCCTATCCGGATGGAGCATCTCAAAGATTTAACGTAAAAGCGCACTTATATAAACGTTTCCGCATTTTCAATGTGCGCAATGCGCAATATCAGTTTCGATAAATTGACATTTTCAGTCATTGTTCACAAACGCACTTACGTCGATTTGAATATTTGATCGAGAAATACTTTAAAAAACGATTTTGTCTTCGTTTCAATGGCTTAATATTTTTTTTATCTAGTTCGTTTATTTGGAAGGCTCAATCGCGTTAGCTTTACGGAGCCGATAATTCATTGTTCACTATGTGTAACAAAATTCACTTAATTCTATGTCTAGTAGGAGTTGGGCCGATTACTCGCGGCTTACTCGAGGTTAGAAGGGTACATTTTCGAAGGATAGGATCAGGGGAGGAGCTTGGGGTAGGGTTTTGTTGTCTCATCAGAGCGTTGTCGCCAGTATGAACGGTAGTGCTGTTCTAGCTTCGTCCGGAGTTCGACCGGCTATGGTGACCAGTGGGCGACGATGAGACTCATCGAGACGGGGGGACAAGACAAACAAAAACTAATAAAGAGAGACAAAAGACAAAAGGAATTAAATTCTTATACTAGACATTTGAAGAAAAACATAAACGGACTGCATATAGCAGAGATCACGGGTTGCCAACACGTCTCTGATAGGAACATAGGGTTGTCTTCCTTGGGCCTCGAGGGTATTCGAAAGTCGCTCTCTGGCGGCGTCATTATCCGTACATTGCCAAACTGCGTGTTCGATGTCATCGTAACCGTTTCCACACCGACAGATGTTGCTGTCTACGAGGTTTATTCTATTGAGATGAGCATCTAGCGAGTAGTGGTTGGACATAAGTCTACTCATCACGCGAATGAAGTCACGACTTAAGCCCAAGCCTTTAAACCACGCTCTCGAAGAAACATTAGGAATAATTGAATGTATCCACCGTCCAAGATTTCCAGTGTCCCAATCGGTTTGCCAACTCGAAAAGGTACTCTGACGCACTAAATGGTAAAATTCATCGTGTGAAATTTGCCTGTCATACAATTCGCCTTCCTGCGCGCCCACCTTTGCGAGAGAGTCCGCCTTCTCATTGCCTGGGATTGAGCAATGTGAGGGGACCCATACAAAGGTAATCATATATGATCTTTCGACCAGCACACACATCTGCTCCCTTACCTTTGAAAGGAAATAAGATGAGTGCCTACCTTGTTTCATCGACCGAATAGCCTCAATCGAACTGAGACTATCCGAGAAGATGAAGTAATGGTCTGTGGGCATATTGGAAATCATCCCCAATGCGAAGTTGATTGCTGCCAGCTCAGCAACAAAAACGGAACAAGGTTCCTGAAGTTTGCGGAAGGCGCTAGAGTTTTCATTGAAGACACCGAAGCCAGTGGATCCATTGAGACGGGACCCGTCTGTAAAATATCTTTTCATGCAATTGACTTGTTGGTACTTTTCAGTAAAAATACGTGGGATAATAATAGGTCGAAGTTGATCGGGAATCCCATGAGTTGCTTGTTTCATGGTCAGATCATATTCAATTGAGGAACTGCGATTGGTGAAGTGAACACGGTCTGGAGTATAACAAGGAAGACACATATCTGATGATATGTAGTGGTGGTAGATTCTCATAAATCGAGATTGTGTGTTCAACCCAAGAATTTCTTCAAAATTAGCAATTATAAGTGTGTTCGTCACTCCGCATTTGATTAGTATTCTGAGAGAGAGCTCCCAGAAACGGTTCTGGAGGGGTGTTACTCCTGCCAGAACCTCGAGACTCATGTTATGCGTTGAGTGCATACAGCCTAGAGCAATACGCAGACAACGATATTGAATTCGTTCCAATTTTATTAGGTGACTTTTTCTTGCCGAGAGAAAGCAGAAAGAGCCGTACTCTAGAACAGAGAGAATAGTTGTTTTATAAAGCGTTATGAGGTCTCCCGGATGAGCACCCCACCATGTGCTGCAAATTGAACGGAGAAAGTTGATCCTCTGCTGACATTTTTGTTTCAAATACGTAATATGGGCATTCCAAGTGCACTTTGAATCAAACCAGACCCCAAGGTACTTGAAAGACAATGATTGAGTAATGTTTCTGCCCAAAAGATTAAGATGCATTTGGGCTGGGTACCGCTTTCGAGTAAACACTACCAGTTCAGTTTTCTGCGGCGAGAATTCGATCCCTAGATTCATAGCCCAAGAAGACAAGTTATCTAAGGAATTTTGCAATGGTCCTTGCAAGTCCACGGCATGTGGACCTCTTACGGAAACCACACCGTCATCTGCAAGTTGTCTTAGCGTGCATTGTTCTGCCAAACAGTTGTCGATATCTTTGACATAAAAGTTATAAAGAAGAGGGCTGAGACATGAGCCTTGGGGCAGGCCCATGTAGCTAATTCTGGAAGTTGTCAGTTGTCCAAGGGAAAAGTTCATTTGCTTTTCTGACAACAAATTGTACAAGAAATTATTTAAAATTCCAGAAAGTCCACATCTGTGCAGATTGTCTGACAGAATTTCAATGGAAACTGAATCAAAAGCCCCCTTAATGTCCAAGAATACTGAAGCCAATTGCTCCTTGTGTGCAAAGGCCAGTTGAATATCTGTGGAAAGCAGCGCTAGACAATCGTTTGTTCCTTTGCTCTTGCGGAACCCAAATTGTGTATTTGATAGCAAGTTATTTGATTCGACCCAGTGATCGAGTCTCCGAAGGATCATTTTCTCCAACAATTTCCTAATGCACGAAAGCATAGCAATCGGACGGTATGAGTTATGGTCAGACGCTGATTTGCCAGGTTTTTTAATGGCTATTACTTTGACCTGTCTCCATTCAGGCGGTACAATGTTGTTTTCTAGCAAGGAATTGAATAAATCTAGCAAGCGTCTTTTAGCGATATCTGGGAGATTTTTCAGAAGATTGAATTTAATCATATCGCTTCCCGGTGAGGAGTTGTTCGATGAAAGAAGAGCCATAGAGAAATCCAGCATTGAGAATGGTCTATCCAGAGAGCCGCCGCTAGGAGACGCTTCTCGAAGAATATTTTGTGCTGGAACTGAGTTCGGACAGACCTTTTTAGCGAAATCGAATATCCATCGGTTGGAGTATTCTTCACTCTCATTGAAAGATGAGCGGTTACGCATGTTGCGAGCCACCCTCCACAAGGTGTTCATTGAGGTTTCTCGTGAGAGTCCCTCGACGAAATTGCGCCAATAACCGCGTTTTTTTGCTTTGATTAATTGTTTCAGCTTTGTCTCAAGCTTTGAATATTCCTCGAAGTAAGTGGAGGTTTTGTGTCTACGAAAAGCTTTGAAAGCATCAGATTTTTCTACATACAATTTTGTGCATTCTTCGTCCCAACCAGGTGTGGCTGGTCTCCTTTTAAAGGGTGCACTTGGAACTTTTCTTTTTTGTGCTTCCAGTGAGCTTTTGTAAATCAAATCGGCTAGGAATCGATATTCTTCCAATGGTGGAAGCGCATCTATTGATTCGACACCGATTGTCACCGCCGTTGCATATTTCTGCCAGTCGATGTTCCTTGTAAGATCAAACGGAACCCGAGATGGTTCTGCAGAGTGAGGGCCACACTTTATTGAAATGATGATTGGCAAATGATCGCTACCATGGGGATCATTGAGAACCTTCCACTGACAATCCAATGATAGCGATCTTGAACACAAAGATAGGTCGAGTCGGCTTTCTCGAGCCGGAGGTTTTGCTATACGTGTCGCTTCACCAGTGTTCAAAATAGTCAAATTGAAATCGTCACATAAATCGTAAAAAATAGCCGCTCTATTGTCGTCATATAGATCGCCCCACCCAGTACCATGGGAGTTCATATCACCCAGAATTAATACTGGGGATGGAAGAATCGAAACTAGATTCCAGAGTTGACTACGGCTAATGGAGGTTCTTGGTGGAACGTATACTGAAGCTATGCAAAGATCTTTGTTCTTCACATTTATTTGGCAAGCAACGATTTCGACGCCGGATAGAGCAGGAAGGGAAATTTTGTAGAAAGGGTAGCACTTTTTGATCCCTAAAAGTACTCCTCCATAAGAATCGTCTCTATCCAGGCGTATAATGTTAAAATCGTGGAAGTTGAGTTCTTTATCGGAAGAAAGCCATGTTTCACAGAGAGCAAATATATCACAATCAGAATTGTGAAGTAAAAATTTGAACGAGTCTAGTTTAGGCACTAGACTACGGCAGTTCCACTGTAGCACCGTGATCATATCTTCAACCTCGTTCGACGAATTATCCATCGAAAGATATGATTGATGCAAGGAGGGGCCATGAAACAGTCAATTGCTTAAGATATGATTCTAACGTTGGAAGCAAGGCAGAAACTAAGCTTCTTAGAGGGTCTTGTATGTTGAACATGTTTAATATGAATTCCACAATGTCCGAAAAAGCTAGCAAACCTCGTTCGGACTTGGATTTCTTTTGAGAAGTTTGAGGAGCAGCTTTTTTATTTTTTTTATCTTTGTTGGGCAATGGCGGAAAATTCTTGCTGCATCCAGGGATTGGATCAACAGGAGCCTTCGGTTTTGTTTTTTCATCCCCATTACCCTGGGAATTTGGCAATCGTCTGGAGGTGACTTTAGTTTTCTTACGGCGCACTTTCGGGGAGGGGCATTTTCTTTTTGAGGAACCGTCTATTTTTGAAGGTGCGTGTACCACCGTAGAATCACCTTCATCGGATGAGTCA